ATTTTTCGATTTCATGGTCCCTACTGAAAACTGTCCCAGCCTACAAAGCCGGTTCAAGAAGATGCAACCTCTGCCTTGAGGAGAAACTCCATATCATGAAAGACAAAACTAGAACACTGCTGAACAAACGCTCTGAACTCTTTACGAAATGTAGACACGTAATTCGACACCTTATATCACGATGTAAATATAGAGAATAGCAACCAGACCTGCCATTAGCCTGATGATCGCTTTATAGCGTGAAACTCCGAGTAGCTAAGCTAGTCTTTCAATAAATATATATATATATATATATATATATATATATATATATATATATATATATATATATATATATTTATGATTTTATTAATTTATCTAATTATGAGTATGAGTAAAAATGCCCTAGTCAACAATGAAGCTTTTCGTACTTGCACTTTACAAGCATGGCGTGACATGTTCGGTCAAGAACCATTAAAATAGAAGAAAGTCATAATATAATGTTTGCAAAATGCTGTTTTCATTTACAGAAATCCGGCGTGAGAAAATTCAAAGCATTCAAAGGTTTAATACTGATAATTGTATGGTCCAGCCTGACGCACAACCTCGTACCCAGGGTCTTTACTCGTGGGGGGGAGTAAAGACCCTGGTCGGGGCTGGTCACGTGTCCCGCAGATTCTGCGGGGTAAATTTAATTTTGCCTAAGGGATGGGAGGCAGAGGCGAGCGTTGTCACGTTGGAAAGTTTTAAAACATTCACGAATTTTTTGTTGAGATCGTTAAATAGAATGAAATACATATTCGGCCAAAATATGAACTCAAATATATCAAAAAACCTACTGCTATTTGCAATCAAACGCGCCGCGCGCCGAATTTTTATCGTTGTTTACTCGCAGTCAACGTGACGTTTACCCATACTCAACGTTACGTTCACCCCTACTCAACGTTACGTTCACCTATTGCCAACGTTATGCGTGTTTCGTGAATAAATACTACAGCAGACGAACATTTTACAGTATACGAAGTGTTGTTCTTCCTCGAACCACAGGATACGTCATTGTCAGCTGACTTTTGTCTTGAGTATTAAATATTGGAAGACGTTTGATTTTTGTTCACGGTGGTAATGTGCTAAACTGATTTACCGCGATCAACTTCGACTGTGAAATATTTTTTGTCGTCCCTTGAATTCTTTCCTTGAAATGGTGCAAATTAAAAATAAATAGAGCAACGATTTTATATAGTTTACTTTAGCGGTGACGTGCGTGTTCCTCGCGCATGTCTTTTAAAAAACAACCGAGAGGCGTGGCAAATGCATTTTGCGTTCATGCCTCTGCGTTCATACGTTTCTTTATCAAAATGGTGAACTACCAATTTAAAATTGAGTACAGTCCGGGAAAGTTTGTTATTTGTTTTCGTAATATCGATACAAGCTCGTACACATTTTATAATCTCGTTGATGACATCAAGAAACGCTGTCCTGGGTTTGCACATCTCACACCACAAACGATCCGTATTAGATTCCTTGACGACGACGGCGACTATATTAACCTGACAGAAGACGATCCTCAAAACGTAGATGAAATGCTGCAACAGGCTAAATTTGTTGAGGAAAGGAACGTAAGAAAAATCCAGCTTCGTGTATCTGAGCTGGATTCACCTTGCCCAATTGTAAACCGATCGCCAGCGGACAAGAAACGCAAAATAGACACTGAACACGGGAAAGGTGCCGTTGCGTTAAAGCCTCGTTCCTTAAATTTCACGTCCAAAACATCGCAATCCGATACAAGAAAAAGTAACGCGTGTACTAGTGACGACAATTCGCCGTTGAGCGCCCTTGAGACATACGTGTATAATGCACAAAAGAAAAGTTGATGTTGAAAAATCCAAGTTGGAACAAATGCAACTTGAAAGACACGAGACTCTACAAAGACTTGAAGCTGCAAAGGTTGCTGCTGGCGATGCTGATGCGAAGACTTGCGGCAACTGCCATCTTCGTTTGGGACATTCACAAAAAAAGTGTACGTTAGAAAAATGTACAGACGTATTCTGTTGCGGCCAGGAGAAGCGTCATCCAGGGCAATTCAACAAACGCCGTCTTGATCAGGAGATTTCGAGGCAGGAAAAAGTTGTTTTGGAGGCCGAGGAAGAACTTAAAAGGCGAACGTCATCGGTCCAGATCGTGCAAAAATCTAAAACAAAACAAATTGAAAATAACCTCATTGATAACCACAAAGCTGATTATACTAACGAGCGGGGAAACCTTGACTGGAACTTAATTCGAAAACATACATTACTTATTGAAAACTATTGCAAAAAGCATATGAATGGCAAAATACCTGGAAAGCAATCTTTGTCGAACATTTTGAGGAAAGCCACCCAAGATTATAAGGAAAGCAATTACGGCAAAGCATTTGGGCGCTCCAAAAAGCGTAAAGGAAATCCAGCCAAAAAAACGTTAGAAGAACATGGCATTGATTTTCCTGGTGCGCCTCAAATATCATCAGATTCAGAGGATGAAGATTATTACGATCGCTTACCAGAGGTTGTAAGTAAGCAATCAACAGACTTGACGTCAAGAGCCATGCCACGAAATGTCGAGGAAGAAGAGAGTCAGTTGGAATTAGCCTTACAGGCTAGCTTGCAAACAAAGAATTATGTTGTCGATGCAGATAGTTATCCTCAACGTAGCGCCATAAATCCAGCTGCAATGCCAATGGCAATGCCGATGTTCTCGTATGATTATCCTAGACCTAACTATAACAACTGCTATTCTGCATCCTTAGTGCCACCTTACTATAACTAAACTATAGTCAACATGGACAGTCTGGTGTTTATCAATTTAATGCCGGCGCAAGCACTATCACTAGTTCACAAGCCATATCAGTAAATGACGCTGATGAGATTGATACAGCTATAACATGCGTTTCAAATGATGCCAGCCCTGTATTTGAGGATACCACTACTACGGAAGCCGAATCTGTAGCAATGGCTTTACTGAATCTCAACAGAAAGGAATGAAGAATCTATCCAGCATGTATATGTAAGTTTTATAAACATGCAGCTTGTATTGTTTCAAATTGTAACAATTGAACTGAACCGAAACTGTTATTGTTCAATTGTAACCTTTTATTGTTCAATTGTAACAATTGAACTGAACTGAGAATTTTACTGTTCTATTGTAACCTTACCTTGGCTTGTTTTAGGCTCAGCCTAGTTTGTTTTGTTTTCATAGCTCTAACAGACACTTGTTAGACGTCCTACTTGCCATTTCACGTCATGGGACGTAAACAATACAGAGCCAGAGGCGGGCGAGTCCCAATTGACAGTCACCTCGAAAGCATAAATTAATTAAGGCAAATTTGCAATAATTTTAGGCTGAATTTTTCGTTTGATTTTTTTTCAATGTGACTGATCAAGGGAATCCTCTCCGTCTTTAGTTTTCGAAGGAATATTAAATGAACACATTTAGTTTTTCATATTTATTTAACTGATAACAATGTCAATTGTTGTAACATGCATTATTAGCCCTTATGAGGTTTTTTACATTACTTATTACTTATAACTTACAAAGGCATGTATGGCCGGTTTGCCGAGTACTCTTGTCCCAAAAATTGGCGGTTGCCATTGTCATTGCTTGTCAAATTTTCGGGAAATATTATGTAAGCCAATGGTCCCCAAATTTTGTGACTAAGTGTTTGAGGTGCTCTCCAATGCCCGTTCTTTATATATATTGCTAAAATTTTCACATGAATATTGCATCGGTGGTTTGGACTTTCCCACGCAAGTATGAAGAACGCGTAGTTGGAAAACAACGACAACAAATTTCGAGTTTATATTAATGTATGTTTTCGTTTACAAACAATCATAGGAGAGAATATATGTCTAAAACAAACGTTTATTGTATAACGTTTGCTTCTATCTCTGGGCTCTTATACAAATAAATAATCAGTGTTTTTGTAGAATCCATGCATATCATTTGAACTTATGAAGTTAATTGCTTCATATACTGCCAACTTGATGTCATAGTGGACTACAGGAAGAAGGTCAAAATTCAAGGCATTTTTAACTTTCGAGAAAGCATGTTCCACAGGATTAAGATCAGGCGAATATATCGGTGTGTAGAGTAATTCTATACCCCATTTCATGAAAAATGTCCTCCAAGATTTCCCCACCTTCATAATGATGACAACTCAAATTATCCATGATCACCGTGTCGCCACACTCAAGCAACGGTTGTTGTGTTGTCGGCGATGTATACTGACAAACCTCGTCAAAGAAATTTAAGAATTCAACAGTATTTGTGGGTCCATCTAATATGTTAAAATAAGCCACTCCATCGTACAACGACGTTAACGCATTCAATGTGTAATTCGGACTAGGGCACTTACGAGTTATTTCCACACAACGTTCCCCAACAGGGGCATGTCCGTAAAGCCTAGTTCCTACTTCAGGAATACGAACACCTGCTTCGTCGAAAAACTTAAGGGTATATGGGTTTTTGCTGCTTACATAATTCATAAATAATTGTGTGTAAAGCATGTTTTCGGGTGTAAACCTTTCTTTGGCTAAATGGGTTATCTTTTTCCTTGAATATTGTTTACCAGATGGCATCTTGTTTTTTATAGCCCGACTGATTGTGCTCAGTGAAATGTCTTCCTGCAGATCCATAGCTTCTAACTCCTCACAAATTTCAAGTAGAGTGACTGATCCTCTTCGAATTTTTAAAGCTTCGATCATTTCTAGATCTTCATTTGTTAACTTTTGACGATTACGGTTTGCCCCACCTTTCGGCATCGCAGACTCCATAAAGTCTTCGCAAAAATTTTTCCATATTTTTCGAACAGTACTTCTAGAAATACGAAATTTGGTCGCTATTGTATGGTGGCCGATCTCCGCCATAGCGAAATTTCCATTTATTTTTATATTTTCTAAAATAAATCAATTTAAAATTTAAATGTTGACTAAATAGGAAAAGCAATAAAAAACAAATGTAAAATAAGGAAAAATCAAAACAAAATGCACTTCAAAAAATAATGAAAAAGAAATGAAAATCAAATTATCTACGGCCGAGAACCGCCATAGCCCGCAATACTTAGAGGACTTATCATAGGGACTTAGTCATACTTCATATAGGCATAAGCCACGATTCAGCTTTTTGAGATTCAAACATGGCGAAGAAAAATGACACTTGGGAGACTTTCAGAGAAAAAATGAAGGACAAGCGGTGTAAAAAAGCACAAACTGCCGTAAATAATAAAGGGTTGAGTGCAGGGGACCAAATTGTACGTAATGGGGAACTTGTTGTTCAAAGACTAAGTTCTGAAGTATCGGGAAAAGCTCAAAAATACAGTCGGATTGGGGCACGTGAGTTTGTCCCATTTAACGAAGAAGAAGTCAGTATTCGTGCAATCAAAGCGGCATGCGAAAGACATTACAAGTCCCTATCGGGAGAAGGATTGATCTGTGATGTGTTAGCCGGCGACCAAGGGCCTTCTTGTCTATCGATGGAACATGTTCCTGACTTAAAAGTAGTACATGTAAGGTTCATCAAGCCACAAAAAATGAATGCTCGGCCGTCTACTTCGTCTGTGAGTCGTATATCCCAAGATATCATGGGAGGCGAAAACCCTGCATTCAGCTTCATGAGCGACTGCATTCAATTTAGAGAGAGTCCTGATAAAAGGAAGATTAAAAGTGAAAGATGTTCATCAAGCCCTGCAAAACGACCTGCCCCCAAAAGCTTAACCATATCTGAAATGGTCAAACTTGGAAAGCTAATAAAGCCTGATGTCGCTGATACAACCACCAGAATGATAATTGATGTGTTCAGCTTTGAATTTAGCAGTTTATCATGGTCTGTACTCCCACAAGTTGTGGAATTTACTGTTGAAAATTCTGTACTGGGAGAAGGTAATGTATAAATGTGTTTAAATTGTGTATGGCAATAGTTGCAGTATTTTATATCTTGAAAGCCTAACGAACAATAGATTTTATTTATTTACAAGGATACATTTATTTATTCAAGGTGGTTTCCGCAAAGCGTACAAAGCTAGAAGCAACACAGCTGGTTTTGTAGGCAAAGATTGGGTCATAAAGAGGTACTTAGAAAAAACTGTCAGCGAGGTAACAAATGATCTTGGCCAATCTATGGAGGAGCAAACTAAGAAAGTGATTCAGATGCACCATCTTTCCAAAAATTTTGCTGATCAGCTATCAAAAACTGTGAAGCAGAAGAACATTTGTGACACGTTTGGTCCTGTCATGCAGTTTCAAATTGTTCACTTTGGCAAGATACAAGGCACAGGTGAATGTGTAACAATTGAGCCACACATTAAGGGTAAGTTTGTTAAATATGTAAACAATACTGGAGAACTATGTGTTCCTACTAGCCATTTGCTGGGCCAAAAAGCTGAGTGCTTGGTCCACTTTTCATATGAGAAGTCCAATTGCCAGTTAATGGTTCTTGATCTGCAAGGAAGCGGTCATCAGCTGTTTGACCCTGAAGTAGCTTCAGAAAAGCTTGTTGGTGAAGAAAAGGAATTTATGTTTTGTGCTGGAAACCTAAGTACAGAAGCAATCAAAACATTTGTTTCAAACCACAAGTGCAACAAATTTTGCCAGTTAGTTGGACTGAATTCAATAGCATAGGAGACATGTAGTGGTCAAGACTACCCTACTCTTATTGGTGCATTAATATCAACAATTAACCAACAGAGTTAAAGTTTTTTATATTCGTTTAGTGACGTTGATAGTTACTTGGAAAGGATTTGTTAGTCTGGAAATAGTTGAAACTTGAAAGATCAGTATTGACATTTTGTTGTTTTAATGTTTAGTTACTCTATAGAATAAAGAGAATTAATTTATTAAAAGATTCTCTCCTTTTTAATTGATAGCAATTTTATGTTTGAAAAGTACAGTGTATTCTTTTTTGGTTCTTCTAATTGGTTCATTACAAGCATAAATCTTATGATAAATTCAAAAGCAACCTTTGAAAGGCAATAACAATATTATGCACTACAGCTTGTGAATTGTGGCCCTAGGTGTTTAAATATGATATGATTATGAGCCAAAATAGTCATTTCAGATTGGGAAATTTGTTTTTGTAGAATAACTCAAAAAACCTGAAACATTGTCATAATGCCACAAAATTGAATATTCTAAACAGTCATGTTGCTATTTTTAATAATTTTGACATCAACCTATAAACAGCTCTCAAAAAATTATACAGTTTGCAGTTGCATATGTTCACATAGGAAAAGAAAGGCAGTCTCACAATCTGATGGCTTTAAATTTGATGGTTCAGGAAGCAATTTCTCACACTGTGCCCTAAAACCAGAGTCTAGATAGTCATCATGTACTTCCAATACTCCTGACAGTTCTGCCACTTCTCTAATTTGATTATCATTGATTTTACAAAGCATGAATGAAAAAGATAAATCAAATGTGGTTTGAACCTATTAACCCTTTAAACATTCTAAAGTTTTTTCTACTTGTGCTTAATTAATAAAAAACATAAGCATAGCATACCATTGCAAGGGAGTTTGCCTTTCCAAAAAATTTAACTATTTCTTAATTTTCATGTTTCCCAACATGTTAGCAATGCATACATGAACAAATGATAATTTATCAGAAGAGTGAAAACATTTTAGAATAAGGATAATTTTTAACAACTAGATATGTGCACAAGTAGGGTGAAACTTGTAAAGGAATAGTTACTTGCATAGTGTACATACCACATTCTCTAAGACCATAATTTGTGGGAAATCATATATGTGGTTTTGGAATTCCATCTGGCAATACCGTATCCCTCTGTTTCCTATTCTGTGGCTGTTCCATAGATGAACAAAACTGTCAATTTCCTTCTGAATCAAAGGGACCATTATGTATGCCAATAGACACCTACAAAATTATACCAAATTGTTAATACAGATACCAGTTTTGCATGGTTAAGATATAAATGTACAATGAATCTACCTGTGTGTTTCATTTTGAGGATCATAATGCCCTTGATCTTTAAGCCATAACAGTGGTGCTTTATAATACTTCTCCAACCTTTCATGTAGTTCTTTCCACCACCGTTCTATCTGTAATGCATCAAGAAAAATATTTAATTTTCTGACAAGACTTCATCAGTTGTGGTGGTACACTTATATAAAAGGCCTACTTTATATTATTCCTACATAAAAGCTTTTTTACCTGATTTGATGTTGATGGACCAAAAAGTACAGTTTCACCAGCCTCCATATCGCCATGTTGCTGGCGTAAGTATGCATGCATTGTGGCCATGGTACCAGTCTATGGTGGCCGATCTCCGCCATAGCGAAATTTCCATTTATTTTTATATTTTCTAAAATAAATCAATTTAAAATTTAAATGTTGACTAAATAGGAAAAGCAATAAAAAACAAATGTAAAATAAGGAAAAATCAAAACAAAATGCACTTCAAAAAATAATGAAAAAGAAATGAAAATCAAATTATCTACGGCCGAGAACCGCCATAGCCCGCAATACTTAGAGGACTTATCATAGGCACTTAGCTATACTTCATATAGGCTGAATAGGCATAAGCCATTCAAAATGGCGCGAATAAGAAACAATAGTTGGCAGGATGATTTGCAACTGAAGAAGGCTTTACAAAATTATATAAATAGCCGCTTAAAGCATAAAGAAATTCTTGACTTTATGCAAAGAGACTTCAGCCAGTATGCATGGAGTTCTAGGACGTTAGAACGGCGATTAAACCATTTTGAAATACGTTGTACCAACAGAAATATTTCAGTTGATCAAGTTCGAAATGCAGTTCAGGAAGAATTACAAGGTCCTGGTAAACTGCTCGGTTACCGAGCCATGCATCAAAAAATAAGACAGGTTCATGAACTTGCTGTACCAAGGGATCTAGTATATGATGTTATGTTTGAACTAGACCCAAAGGATTGGAATGCAGAGCTCCAGGTTTTAAAACGAAAAAGAAGAAGGGCAATTTCACGTCGCCCGGTCCCAATTTTGTGCACTCACTCGATGGTCACGATAAACTAATGGGCTTCCAGAATAGTACTTTCCCTATTGCAGTATATGGCTGCCTTGACACATGTAGCCGAAAAGTACTGTGGGTGAAAGTGTGGATGAGCAATAGTGACCCAAAGCTGATTGGCCGTTTTTATCTGGAATATCTTTACAATCAGCACACCATTGCAAGCATGTTAAGGGTAGATAAAGGGACAGAGACTGGTACCATGGCCACAATGCATGCATACTTACGCCAGCAACATGGCGATATGGAGGCTGGTGAAACTGTACTTTTTGGTCCATCAACATCAAATCAGGTAAAAAAGCTTTTATGTAGGAATAATATAAAGTAGGCCTTTTATATAAGTGTACCACCACAACTGATGAAGTCTTGTCAGAAAATTAAATATTTTCTTGATGCATTACAGATAGAACGGTGGTGGAAAGAACTACATGAAAGGTTGGAGAAGTATTATAAAGCACCACTGTTATGGCTTAAAGATCAAGGGCATTATGATCCTCAAAATGAAACACACAGGTAGATTCATTGTACATTTATATCTTAACCATGCAAAACTGGTATCTGTATTAACAATTTGGTATAATTTGTAGGTGTCTATTGGCATACATAATGGTCCCTTTGATTCAGAAGGAAATTGACAGTTTTGTTCATCTATGGAACAGCCACAGAATAAGGAAACAGAGGGATACGGTATTGCCAGATGGAATTCCAAACCACATATATGATTTCCCAACAAATTATGGTCTTAGAGAATGTGGTATGTACACTATGCAAGTAACTATTCCTTTACAAGTTTCACCCTACTTGTGCACATATCTAGTTGTTAAAAATTATCCTTATTCTAAAATGTTTTCACTCTTCTGATAAATTATCATTTGTTCATGTATGCATTGCTAACATGTTGGGAAACATGAAAATTAAATAAGAAATAGTTAAATTTTTTGGAAAGGCAAACTCCCTTGCAATGGTATGCTATGCTTATGTTTTTTATTAATTAAGCACAAGTAGAAAAAACTTTAGAATGTTTAAAGGGTTAATAGGTTCAAACCACATTTGATTTATCTTTTTCATGCTTTGTAGGTTGGAAAATCAATGATAATCAAATTAGAGAAGTGGCAGAACTGTCAGGAGTATTGGAAGTACATGATGACTATCTAGACTCTGGTTTTAGGGCACAGTGTGAGAAATTGCTTCCTGAACCATCAAATTTAAAGCCATCAGATTGTGAGACTGCCTTTCTTTTCCTATGTGAACATATGCAACTGCAAACTGTATAATTTTTTGAGAGCTGTTTATAGGTTGATGTCAAAATTATTAAAAATAGCAACATGACTGTTTAGAATATTCAATTTTGTGGCATTATGACAATGTTTCAGGTTTTTTGAGTTATTCTACAAAACAAATTTCCCAATCTGAAATGACTATTTTTGGCTCATAATCATATCATATTTAAACACCTAGGGCCACAATTCACAAGCTGTAGTGCATAATATTGTTATTGCCTTTCAAAGGTTGCTTTTGAATTTATCATAAGATTTATGCTTGTAATGAACCAATTAGAAGAACCAAAAAAGAATACACTGTACTTTTCAAACATAAAATTGCTATCAATTAAAAAGGAGAGAATCTTTTAATAAATTAATTCTCTTTATTCTATAGAGTAACTAAACATTAAAACAACAAAATGTCAATACTGATCTTTCAAGTTTCAACTATTTCCAGACTAACAAATCCTTTCCAAGTAACTATCAACGTCACTAAACGAATATAAAAAACTTTAACTCTGTTGGTTAATTGTTGATATTAATGCACCAATAAGAGTAGGGTAGTCTTGACCACTACATGTCTCCTATGCTATTGAATTCAGTCCAACTAACTGGCAAAATTTGTTGCACTTGTGGTTTGAAACAAATGTTTTGATTGCTTCTGTACTTAGGTTTCCAGCACAAAACATAAATTCCTTTTCTTCACCAACAAGCTTTTCTGAAGCTACTTCAGGGTCAAACAGCTGATGACCGCTTCCTTGCAGATCAAGAACCATTAACTGGCAATTGGACTTCTCATATGAAAAGTGGACCAAGCACTCAGCTTTTTGGCCCAGCAAATGGCTAGTAGGAACACATAGTTCTCCAGTATTGTTTACATATTTAACAAACTTACCCTTAATGTGTGGCTCAATTGTTACACATTCACCTGTGCCTTGTATCTTGCCAAAGTGAACAATTTGAAACTGCATGACAGGACCAAACGTGTCACAAATGTTCTTCTGCTTCACAGTTTTTGATAGCTGATCAGCAAAATTTTTGGAAAGATGGTGCATCTGAATCACTTTCTTAGTTTGCTCCTCCATAGATTGGCCAAGATCATTTGTTACCTCGCCTGACAGTTTTTTCTAAGTACCTCTTTATGACCCAATCTTTGCCTACAAAACCAGCTGTGTTGCTTCTAGCTTTGTACGCTTTGCGGAAACCACCTTGAATAAATAAATGTATCCTTGTAAATAAATAAAATCTATTGTTCGTTAGGCTTTCAAGATATAAAATACTGCAACTATTGCCATACACAATTTAAACACATTTATACATTACCTTCTCCCAGTACAGAATTTTCAACAGTAAATTCCACAACTTGTGGGAGTACAGACCATGATAAACTGCTAAATTCAAAGCTGAACACATCAATTATCATTCTGGTGGTTGTATCAGCGACATCAGGCTTTATTAGCTTTCCAAGTTTGACCATTTCAGATATGGTTAAGCTTTTGGGGGCAGGTCGTTTTGCAGGGCTTGATGAACATCTTTCACTTTTAATCTTCCTTTTATCAGGACTCTCTCTAAATTGAATGCAGTCGCTCATGAAGCTGAATGCAGGGTTTTCGCCTCCCATGATATCTTGGGATATACGACTCACAGACGAAGTAGACGGCCGAGCATTCATTTTTTGTGGCTTGATGAACCTTACATGTACTACTTTTAAGTCAGGAACATGTTCCATCGATAGACAAGAAGGCCCTTGGTCGCCGGCTAACACATCACAGATCAATCCTTCTCCCGATAGGGACTTGTAATGTCTTTCGCATGCCGCTTTGATTGCACGAATACTGACTTCTTCTTCGTTAAATGGGACAAACTCACGTGCCCCAATCCGACTGTATTTTTGAGCTTTTCCCGATACTTCAGAACTTAGTCTTTGAACAACAAGTTCCCCATTACGTACAATTTGGTCCCCTGCACTCAACCCTTTATTATTTACGGCAGTTTGTGCTTTTTTACACCGCTTGTCCTTCATTTTTTCTCTGAAAGTCTCCCAAGTGTCATTTTTCTTCGCCATGTTTGAATCTCAAAAAGCTGAATCGTGGCTTATGCCTATATGAAGTATGACTAAGTCCCTATGATAAGTCCTCTAAGTATTGCGGGCTATGGCGGTTCTCGGCCGTAGATAATTTGATTTTCATTTCTTTTTCATTATTTTTTGAAGTGCATTTTGTTTTGATTTTTCCTTATTTTACATTTGTTTTTTATTGCTTTTCCTATTTAGTCAACATTTAAATTTTAAATTGATTTATTTTAGAAAATATAAAAATAAATGGAAATTTCGCTATGGCGGAGATCGGCCACCATACCAGTCTCTGTCCCTTTATCTACCCTTAACATGCTTGCAATGGTGTGCTGATTGTAAAGATATTCCAGATAAAAACGGCCAATCAGCTTTGGGTCACTATTGCTCATCCACACTTTCACCCACAGTACTTTTCGGCTACATGTGTCAAGGCAGCCATATACTGCAATAGGGAAAGTACTATTCTGGAAGCCCATTAGTTTATCGTGACCATCGAGTGAGTGCACAAAATTGGGACCGGGCGACGTGAAATTGCCCTTCTTCTTTTTCGTTTTAAAACCTGGAGCTCTGCATTCCAATCCTTTTGGGTCTAGTTCAAACATAACATCATATACTAGATCCCTTGGTACAGCAAGTTCATGAACCTGTCTTATTTTTTGATGCATGGCTCGGTAACCGAGCAGTTTACCAGGACCTTGTAATTCTTCCTGAACTGCATTTCGAACCTTGATCAACTGAAATATTTCTGTTGGTACAACGTATTTCAAAATGGTTTAATCGCCGTTCTAACGTCCTAGAACTCCATGCATACTGGCTGAAGTCTCTTTGCATAAAGTCAAGAATTTCTTTATGCTTTAAGCGGCTATTTATATAATTTTGTAAAGCCTTCTTCAGTTGCAAATCATCCTGCCAACTATTGTTTCTTATTCGCGCCATTTTGAATGGCTTATGCCTATTCAGCCTATATGAAGTATAGCTAAGTGCCTATGATAAGTCCTCTAAGTATTGCGGGCTATGGCGGTTCTCGGCCGTAGATAATTTGATTTTCATTTCTTTTTCATTATTTTTTGAAGTGCATTTTGTTTTGATTTTTCCTTATTTTACATTTGTTTTTTATTGCTTTTCCTATTTAGTCAACATTTAAATTTTAAATTGATTTATTTTAGAAAATATAAAAATAAATGGAAATTTCGCTATGGCGGAGATCGGCCACCATAGTATTGCCTCGTACGTTCCAGGGAAATATCTCGTTGCGATATTCCCCCCATTTAAAACGATTTCATCGATAATGCCCTTCCTTAAGTCTGTGCTTAACGCTTTTCCACTTTCGTACGTCCTACCACGCTTACTAAGCGGCATGTTAAAATTAACTTAAGGTATAAACAATGTTTTTGTCCAGACTTTTGTGTAATTGTAATATTGTATCTGTGGATTTCGTAGTGATGATTTGAGTGACGTTTTTAGATATTAAAAATTTTTCAACTGTCAACTCATTAGAACTGGCCAATCAAAACATACGCGTTTTATTGTTGGCTAATTTTATTCAGTAAACACTGTGCTGGCGAGTGGCGAAGTGTGCAGTAAATGTAAAAAAAAAGTAATATACAGCATTTCTTACGTTGATAACAACCCGTGAATCGTTACGTTGGCAATAGGTGAACGTAACGTTAAGTAGGGGTGAACGTAACGTTGAGTATGGGTAAACGTCACGTTGACTGCGAGTAAACAACGGTAAAAATTCGGCGCGCGGCGCGTTTGATTGCAAATAGCAGTAAATGACGCCTGGACTTTGAACATATGCAGTATCGTGTTACCGTTACACTCAATATGGAGTATCGTGTTACATCAGTTACACTCATTTCAATCGAGTCGATGGCTAGTACTAACACGCCGAAAAAACTCTACGAGAAAAGAACTAAATCAACTGGTGGTATTTCTCGATGTAGATTGTGTAACTCCGTTACAAACACGAAATACAGCAAAAATTTGTATCGTGCCCAAAATAGGGCAATTCTGCATGACGCTGAAAGTTTTTATGGGGAAAAGTTGCCTCAAAACGACAGCCTTCCGCACTTGATATGCGCGCCATGTGAACGAAGGCTAAACAACGCCGTTAAATTTAAAAAGATCGTTGAGGAAACCCAGCGCGTATTACGGGGAGACGTCCGTGAAAAACGCTGTATCGATATTTCACCGTCGATTCAAAAACCACCGACCAAAGTCCGTTCAACCTCTTCAACCGAGAGTTCACGTCGACGCAGCTTAGACTTCACTACTGCCACTGGCGAAAAAACTCTACACGAGAAACCAGATAGTCATGTAGGAGTTAGGCCTTTGCTTGTAAGTACCACTTTTGTACCATATTGCTGCTTTACTATAGTGAATTGAAACACATTTTTACCATTCTGAATATTTTGCGCAGTATTATTAAATGATTCATTCATGCATGCCGAAATGTCGCCTATGATCACTATTTTCAGATAGTATCATATTTCTTAATCGTAAACATAGACAATATTTTATTACAATGCCTATTAAAACGCTACAATTCATTCTATACAAGGCGTGTAATGCTAGCTAGGTTTTTAGTGGTTATATATCATCATCTGACCAGCCCAAAATAAAGACCCATACAGATTTGGGTTTATCTGCCTCATGTTGATCAATTTTGATATTAAGGATAATCAAATCTTGGTTGAAGCACATAAAGAGCTGATTGAAGTTGCCAGAAGAAGCGATGCTTCTGTTCTGAGGGAAAGAAGCTTTGATGGCCTTTCAGCAGAGGATTGGATGTCAAAGGTGCTTGATGAGTTAGTCTCTAGATGTCCATTTGCACACCAAATTCTGTCAACTTTGGTTGAAAGCACCATTTATCCCGAAAAGAAATTACCTGCGGTCTGCCTAATTTATGGGATAATAATGTTCCTAAGATGCCATGAACTCAGCAGAATTCAAAGGATCAACTCGGTATTGTTGATAGAAGGCCAAGCACCTGTAAATGTAAGCTATTCTTTTATAGTTCATATAATCTTCCCAAATTTTTAGTAACCTTTATGGCCTGCCATTTTCATTGCAAACTTCATTCTTTATACACCAGTATGCTAGAATCAGCATGAATACAGTACTTAGATTGCTGTTGTTACCATAATCAGCATGGTATTGTGTTATTGTCCCTATCAAGTGGGGAACCCCCCCCCCCCCCTTGACAGAATTTCAAGCTGCTAGCAGGCTAAATACTCACACATATACATATAACAATTTTAGCTCATTGCTCATCTGCATAAGTATGGTATATGCCTCGAACCGAAAATGAAGTATCAAATACTGGATGACATTGGCACACAATTTTTTACCCATGCAGCAAAATTGGTACAGTCTGGCCACAAATTTGTCTACGTCCTGGACAACATTGATTGGGAGGAAAAGGCACATGACATGAGACAGGATGTCCAAAACAAGAGCGTACATGCAGTGGCAACAAGCATTGTATTCAACCGTGTTTCAGACAGAGGATTACCCGACTCTGGACCTCAGCAAAGCCTGAAGGATTGCAATGTCCATCAGTTGGTGGATATCAATCCACCAGAGTTGGAGGCAATTCGAAGCCGGTATAGAATACTTGTTGCCAAAATTTTGTTTCAATACTTCCCTGCTTTTTCAATGTTTGAACATTTCATACCGAAGAGCACTGAATGTATGTATAAACAGGAGATGTCAACAAAGTCTGATGTTCTGACAATGCCAATTTTATTAAAAGATGAAAAGAAGTACTCAGACTGCGTAGATGTCCTAGACCAACTAGAAAAGTGGACTCATGATATCTACTCAGCTGCTGGAATTTGTGTATCAGAACCTGAATCTTCAAGTGATGACCCTCCTACAATCGGAAGCAGGTCAAGACCAGACCAACCTACATCCCATGTCCCACCTACTGCCTCTGATGCTGATCCATTGCGTGGTGTGAAAATACCATGCTTTGGTGATCAACTTTCTCGCGTGCGATTTGCTGGAGCCAAGGATTTAAGGTCTGGTTGTCATACGGCCAAGCAGAGACTGGATCATCTGTATCCATTTTGCATTGTAGATTGGCATACAAAGCGAAGTTTTTTAAAGGTATGTGTAGATATAGTAGAAAAATTGGAAACACGAAAAACTGACCAGTAATTTGCACAACAAAAGCTGTAATATGAGGAGTTTGGGAACAAAGTTACAATTAGTAATCAATGATATTAAACCAAAAGTATTTCAATCTTGTTATTGTTGTGGAAAAGATGGGAACACTTGTATATATCACTTGCAGTATTATCCAATTGCTGATTTACAGTGGTGTAAATTGTGGGTGTAAAAAGACACATTATTATGCCTCAAAATGATTGTTGTGAATTGTATAATTAACCCTATGCTAATTGTTCCATGACTCCCTTTACTTGTTCCCTACATCCAATGTCTTGTTACTGGTATATTAGGTCACTATCAGGATTTTGCCATGTGTCATATATTATCTTTGTTTAGACGGTTTTCAAAAAACTGTATAAAAACTCAGGAAGGGAGGGGGCACGCTGAGATTCTTCCGAGAAAAACTGAATCGGAGGAATGTTACTGTTGATGTGAAACACTATGAGGACTGTGAGCAGCTGTTCTTCAGTGTTGGTAAGTGCTTTGTGATTGAAGCCCTTTTGGAATTTTTCCAAATGGATGATACAAAGCACAAACCAACAGCAAACAGTCCTCATAGTGTTTATGTCTTCAAAGAAGATTACCAGAAAACCTACATCAATGAAGTTCTGGACAAGTTCCTGGATGAGTTTATATTCCACCCGAAAGATACAGATGTTTTAGATGGTGTTTGGAGCTACTCTGTTTCATTGGTAAAGTGCTTCATGGTGTTAGCAGACTTCAAGGATGCTGTATCTAATGGAAATGGTGAATATATTGCAACATTGAGGAAACAGTTATTGGTCCATTTCTTTGCCACACCCGGATTCAATGAATTTGCAATCGAAATGTTGATAAACATACTACAGTGTGAAGTGTTGCTGTCTGAAGCAGAGGCCCATCAGTGCAAATGGGCTGCAACAGTGAACTGGAAAGGAGGAGCTGGTAAGAACATTAAGATTGACTTGTTTCAGGAGAACCAAAATGCAGAAATGAAGAAGTTGGTTAGATCAATGGGTGCAAACAAAACAGAAAAGGCAATAACGAGAGCGAGTCAGGCAGCAGGTGGCATATCAAAGATTGTAGCAGCTTTTGAAGAACAGGTACAGATGCCTTTTAGATCATCCTCCCACTCGCACAAGTCTTCAATCAATGATGAAAAACTGATTGGTAATGACCTGAGAAGTTTACGGCCTTTCAGAAATGAGAATGGGAGAACATTTGAGACATTTCCGGGGATTTCACCTGATCCAAACCATGCCTTTGACACAAATAAGTTCAAAGAGTGGATTAATCGTCACAAGCGTAATATATTAATGCACTATACTGTTGCTGAATGCGAGAATGACTCTGAGGATGAGGAATTATAGTACTGTAGAAAATAGGAAACTAGCTAATATAGATTTAGATATAAATGAAACAAGATACATACATGGGATACACCCTACTGATTCTGATTGCTAGAACAATTTTAATAGATTAGACTTTAACAGTTGCAACACACTAGGGTATTACAGTCATGCACTGTTGAAAATAGTGAAAAAGAAATCAGTAATAGTTGAATCAAGTCAGACAATAAAGTCTAACTTGAAAAGTGACTATTAATTACATCTTGATTTACAGTCAATTTCACATAACTTTTTCCAGGTATTTCTAAAGTCAATTCCAAAGTTCATGAATTCATTGCAAACTTGTGAAGTACAACACATTGGCATTGGCTTTTTATCAACTTAACTTCACACCAAATGTTGTATAACAACTGCCTGAGATAGCAACCATACAAACTCTTCATACTTCAGGCCATCTATTTTAGGCAGTTGTTATACCATATTTGATGAGAGGTACCTAAATAATTTGGTGTATATATTTACTATATAAAATTATTATATATGTTGTTGAAATGCAAGCATTGGCTTATATTGTAAAATACAGTTTCCTAATACAAAGATTTGAACAGTTGGAGTTGTTCCACCGTTTCACATACCCCACAGCATATGTCTAATGGCCTACTGAATGATACTGACAATATCTTTCAGTTCACTGACTTTAATAGTAAAATGTCTAACAAAATTCATGCATACTGTCCTGCATTCATACTCTGTTCTTTCCAGTGTGACATCAGGAAACATTGCACAGTCTTTACTGAAGTGACTTTCCCTAAAAAAAATTGGTTTCAAAAAAAGTGTTGAACCTTTCCAAATAGCATAGATTCCTGTAAGAGCTCAGTCAGGTCACATTAATTTGGTTGCACTATAAAGGTTGCATTATAAATTCATAAAAAATGCCACTGAAACATTTGTTCAAGTTTTAACAAAACACTATACTTACCAAGTTATAAGTTCATTATACGAGTTTTATCAACTGCAATTGCAACGACGCTCTGTTGATTATTAAGAGCAATTCATGTCCAAACGTGTCAATGTTTGTCGATGGACAAAAACGATGTGATATTGTGATAGCGACCAACGTCACGTATCTTTTTCATTACACAAAGGTCCGAAGAATAGTTGTTCGGCTCCTTCACGTTAATAAATTGTAGCTTAATTGCGCATTGAATCATCGAGAAATTCAATGGTCTGCCGCAGCAACACTTCTTGATCTGCAGTTTAGCAATAAATCGCTATGCATGTTGTCAGACTTTGACGAACAGCAACACTGGCAAGATGGAAACTTGAGACTTTCCATAATACTACTAGCCCATATATAATACACACATAGCATCTAGCATTCAAGGCAAATAATTTCTTTTGGATTGAAAATGATATCGGTATACAATTCACGCAATTTCCAAGCAAGTAAAAACTTAACCACAATGTACAAAATGTTACAATTTAATGAGTCTTTTTAATCAAGCATGGCGAAAGGAAAAACTTTCCAAGCTATGTGGAAACATGTAATTTGATACTTTGATCTCACCCCCTAAGGCCATACCCTAAGGCAACGAATTTTCCAAGAGCCACGTGACCAGCCCCGACCAGGGTCTTTACTCCCCCCCACGAGTAAAGACCCTGGGTACGAGGTTGCCTGACGCAGAGCCTGATTATTCTATTTATCCCATTATGCTTTTCGAGCGTAGACCACGAGGGATATTTGAATACTAAGCGAAACAACCTATAACGCTATAAATGCATATCAAAGAAATATTGTTTTTTTATGGCGAATATGGATTTCTATCTTGTTATTTACTTTATATATTACCGATAAAGATATGGACGTTTAGGATGTGAAAAAATATACACTATATCGGCGCAAATTTGTGGTATCTAATAAGGTGAGTTGATGTTTCATGATGTCATATGCCAACATGCTGATCGAGTGTGTTATTATATATATACAACGTATAAGCCTTTATTTGTTAGCCTTCGTTAGCCTTTATTCGACCCTATTATAGATCAAGAATTGCATTTAGGTCTTTTTTCATCGTTCAATGATTTGCGCTATGATTTTCCATGTTATTATCTGTTTATATAGTTAAATAGTTGGCTATAGTAGGGATAGCTAAACAATACCTTAGAATTCCTCAGCAATTATGGCCTGGCTAGAATACCTCAGAGGAGCAAAATAGAATAGTCCAATGTTGTGATATATATATACGAAGGAGCAGCATATGGCAGTGTTTCTAATGTCTTTGTTTGAAATGTAGGATATTATAAAGAGTTGAGTTATATTTTCAGATTGATACTAAATCGAGAGGGGTTAATGTAACAGTGCTTCTCCACAGCAGGGTTGGGACTGTTCCAAAGGGTATAAATTGTGCATCAGAGTCTGCCTATATCATTAAAATTATCACAAAGCTCTCTTTTTTGCCTTCAGATACATTTATCCATCCATATCTTGTTAGGGACAGTTTTTGGATTTAACACAATTTGATTTCATTGGATAAGACCTCTATCTATATATTGTTTGAATCAATTACATGCATTTACATGGTGAATTGATTGGAATTTACACTATCATAGGGAGGTAGAAAAGCAGTGTAGAATGGGTTTAAGGATGGGCATATTTGATAATAGTCTTAAAGTAGTTTTCTTAAAGATGCCGGTATAGCAGGGGATAGCTAAAGAATAGCTTAAAATTCCCCACAGTAGCTAAATTATTATTTACTAGTATTTTTTGTTTGATGTACTCAATTCCTAACACGATTGCAAAGTTTTATTTTAAGTGTGAACTTAGGATTTACTTCACTCCAATTTTTAAATTATTTACTCTCAACTTTATCTGATGATGTCTCATCTGATTTTAAGGACCACAAAAATCCTTTTGCAATAATTGATCTGTACTGCAATAATTGATATTTAAAAACATGTCAAATAAGCACTGGACAAATACAAACCTTCAAAGCCTAGGTGCAATATTATATATGATCATTTCTCTATATTTCTATATTATCATGTAGGACCTATAATTCTCATGTATTAATGTCTGCTGTGTTTTCTATATTATGACTCATGAATATTTTAGTAAATTTACATTACATTCATACATGTAACAAAATATCATGTCAGAGTTTCTAGGGTTTCTTGAGAATTAACTTATCTTATAATAAGAAAATATTTTCTTGGAAATATATCTTATATTAAGAAAAATTTCTTAAGAAAATTTTTCTCATTATAAACATTCTATAAGAAATTTTGGACCAATTTCAAGAAAATTTTCTTAAACTGAGAAATTATTTGCGTGCAACTTTTCTTATTTTAAGAAAATTTTCTTAAGAAAAAAGTAAAATTTTCTTATAATTCTCTCAAAAAAATTTGAACTCATTAAAATGAGTTTTTTTTTCTTGAAATATGAAAATGACTTTTTGCTGTTTACTTATACTAGAGGATTTTAATTAGAATCAAGGATTATATTTGTTGACTCTGGACATGAAATTAATACTTGTTTCCACCAAATCTGACACATTTTCAGCAGATTAACTTACAGCTTTTAAACCTGACAAGCTGTCTTAAATGTCTGTGTTTAAAGACTTTGGTGTTAATACAATGGAAAAATGCAGTAGACCCCATACTTTTCCTCGGCAAATGGCAAGAAACACAGGACCTTTGTTCTCTAGATTGTGAAATTTTTCAGAAAATTTTTCCATTGCCTAAGACCATAAAAACCTCAATATGCCTGTTCATTAACAATTATTTAGATGAACATAACCTTCAGATCAAATGACCTGTTTTTCGAATAACTCAAACCAGTTAACTATGATCATTGCATGTTGCATGAGAATTGCATTTAAGTTTGGTTTGTTGATAAATAAAATCTATGAAATTCTGCAGAATGGATTTCTATTTAGACATTCCTTTCAGACTGCCATAATTCGAATTCACTGGTAATTAGTACTAAAGGCCATGTTACACGGTGCAATTTTTCTTGCAACTTGCAATGCAATTGCACTGCTAAGATATTTAAATTATTAG